GTGTGTGTGTGTGTGTGTGTGTGTGTGTGTGTAATATAATCTGATGACGAAAGTACGCCAGATAAAATATGCTTAATCCAAAAACTTGAGTCAGGTTGACTGCAAGGGTTCTTCTTTATTACAACATTTAGTCTTAGCCAAAACAATTTGTCTGAAGACTCTTGTACACAGCCCCTTTGAATACTGGATCAAGCTGTTTACTCGTTACAACTACAAGTTTTTCACATGCTAAACACATGACTATCAACTGAATGACCCTTACTGCAGTCGTTAGTGCTCTAGTGGTCATTTGCAATTCACAGAGGGTTCAGTGATACCTGCAATAACATTAACATAATTGAAAGGGTGGGACAATTGGACAAGAAGGCCCCCTACCGGCATGTAAATCACAGAATAATGACCTGATGATGTTCCTCTTTTGTGCACGGGCAACCTTTTAACAGTGGCTTTTTTGTTTCCTGGTGTAAAACACAGCACAGTCACCCTGACACCACACAGCCTTGCTGTTAGTGGTGGGGGACACAATATTTTGGAATGATGCAGTCTTGTAATTGTACTTATTTTCTTCAGCTATTCAGACACCAAGAAAGGTGACACATGACGAGGCAGTGAATTGTGACCTTCGCCATATCTACTCCCGTGCATTCCAAAGACGAACACAGCAAACACCCAACAGATGACTCTTACTTTCCAGTTCAGGATTCAATTGAAGAATATTGCAAAGAAATGAAATAGAATGAGAAAGCTGACTCTCCCAGGTAAAGAAGTTGATAATATCTGATGATTGTTACCGTAACTTGGAAAGTGGATGTCAATAATAAGTGATGATCCTGTTTGTAAATTCAGCCATGTAATAAACAATTTTTATGTACATTACTTGTTCATGCACTGGTTCGTGAGAGATTTTGTTAACAGACGAGCAGTGTTCATGTCAAAGTTGCTAAGGTTTATAATCATTTATATTTTCAATTGGTACCACAACAGATTTTAGCTCAGTATCTGTAAAATTAGCTGAGTTATGACCATTTTTCTCTTTCACCATTTCATCACATGGCTATCATTCACCAGGGTGAACGATAGCCATGTGATGTGAGTATGAGTCACTTGTGAACGATGGCCATGTGATGTGAGTAT